TCCAGTTTGTGTATGAACTAGTCAGGTTGGATTTTGTGTTGTGTATCAACTAGTCAGGTTTGATCTTGTGTTGTGTATCAACTAGTCAGGTTTGATTATGTGTTGTGTATAAACTAGTCAGGTTTGATTTTGTGTTGTGTAACAACTTGTCAGGTTTGATGCGTTCAGTGCTTGTGAGCAAGAGAATAAATGCAATGTAGCTCTCAGTTTTACATTTTGACTTTTTCTATTAAATGCAATGATGGTTTATAAAGAACAATCTTAAGCTTACTAATATATTAAAACACATATGGTTATACATTTTCCTGTTTCTGTAGATGTTTTATTTACATTTTATTATAGTAGAATAATTAAATATATCATGCATTTATATTTAAAGATGATAAACATTGATAGTAAATGTGCATAAAGTATAAATATACAATATATAGATACGGAATATAGTACGGCACTGTTAAAGGTTTTACTTTATTAACTCAATACAACTAATACACATAACACTTTGGGGTAACGTGCTAATTCCATAAATATGATATCACTATGATAAAATAAAAATTTTCAGATATAAGTTTGCATTAGCATGTGCTAGAAAGTTATCACATTTGTAAAATATCACCTTAAACACACTCACAATGATGTATATTATTGGAGTAACTACTGACAATGCGCTTAAGGAACACAACATTAAGGCACGTCTGAACTCTAAAAAATCACTGATCCTTGATTATTTGCATATTGGACAGTCGCATCATGGCTTCCTGTAACTGTCTCATGCTCTCCAATAGCTGACGTCTCGCGTCAACGTTTACCCATCCCGTTTTTGATCCACTTTCCTCCTCCTTTTTTGGATTAACATCTCCTGAACTCTTTTCGTTATCGCGTTCGAAGTCTCGCCCTTCACACCGGTTGTCACTTTTTTCTTCGGGATTTTCCAATTCTATTCTAAAGTTCGTTTTTATTGCTTCACCCTGTTGTCGATATTGTTTGATTTCTTCTTGTTGTGATTGACAATGTTTGATTATTTCTTCAATACAACTCTGAGAGACAGCACAGGAAATCTTTCTCTGTAGAGATTCCATGTTTCTTACAATAGCCCCTGAAAATTTTTCCTGTTTTGCCAGTGTGTCATGCCCGGATGTAGTTAGACTCAGCATCCTGTTGCGTAGGATTACGTCTACTGTATCAATAGAGAAAGGTGTAGTTTGCGGCGGATGAACATTTAGGATCGCTGGTTGCACGGTCTCGACGGTTATTCGAGGTTGTCCTAGTTCGGCTATGTCGTCTTTAGTTTTCTGGACATTCTTATAATTTGCTTCTGTATATCGTCGATCACGGAACACCAACACATCGATCATTTGAATCAACTGGTCGATTTGTTCAGTTATTTGCAACTCGTCTTTGGTTATTTTGGCAAATAAAATCACTCTATGGCAGCACTCCTCGGGCAAATCCTTAAAAGCGCCATCCTGATTTTGGCACCACTCTTAGAATACCAATCCTACTTGATCTGTTTCCTCCTGATCTTGATGAAAAACATCTCCGCATGTCAAGATTAAAATAAAAAAATTACGAACAAAATCATCTCCGAATATTTTCTTTAACAAAACAACAGTCTCCTGTTCTTCACGTGTAAACCTATTGCCGTATTTAAGGACCAGAAGAAAAGCAGGATAGCCTTCAGGATTGACTGCCAGAGCCAACTTAGCGGCCTCGTTTAACTTCTCAACTGACCCCTCATCGTCCAGTCTGGTATCACAAATTGTCAGACCATCCACGACGTTTATCTGACGACCGTTGTATTCTGTCATCGCGATGTCAATGTTTTGGGTTAACGATGATGTACTAGGGCCGCTTGCAAATTTCTTTTTTCGTACGATGCTGTTTCCTGTTGCACTTTTACCATTTCCAGTTTTCCCGATTAGGAGAAGATCGATTCTAGCTTTGGTATTCATTATTTTCTAGAGGAAAACAGAAATATAATACATATAAAATAATATGTACATGAACAACAATATTTTCATAACAAAATATACACAATTAATAATTGATCGTATTCGTAATATTCTACACAAGATAACACAATATTCCAAACAGAATATAGAACCCGAATTCCATCATGTTTTTCACACTTAGAATTGATAGTATTTATGCCTGATGTGTGTTCTTTCTCCACCTGATTAGCTGTTTACATGAAACACTAGTACAGAACTCTACCTCTGTACCCCTCAGCCATACTATTGATGTTACTATCAGGAAGATGAGTTCCATGTTACATATTGAACTGATATTATCTGCTGCAACGAAGTAGAGAAAATTGCTTACTAGATATGTTAATATCATAGAAACTTTTTTATGATATCCGATAGGCCATTTATTTTACATTAAACTAGCAATGACCGTGAGATATCTCATTTCTATTACTAGTTACTGAAAACGACTATATATATATATATATATATATATATATATATATATATATATATATATATATATATATATATCGAACAAAACAATATAGATTTTGCCACAAGGCTTTATCCGAATACTCTCTGACTTAATCCATATTTATTTTGTTCTCAGCTAGCAAATGGCTGGAGCTATCACACAATAAATAAACCGGTAGTGATCTCCCCTAAACTTTCTCGAATATTCTTATATAAAACAACAAGGGGATGGTAACTGGGGATATAGTTATGATTTTTAATCCATTTTAAATACTAAAACTTTTAAAAATAGAATAGAATCTCAGTAAAAAACAATTGCGCATTAAGCGAACGCCTAATAAAGGTGTGTATAATAGTGCGCAATATTATTAGTACTTTTAAAATTTACATTAGTTTTTTGAGAAATCGGAAGTAGCGTAAATTACTACTTCCTGTCAACGGAAATTACTCAAAATTTAACAGAAGGTAGAGAATTAGATCTTTTACTTACATGTGAAATTTCATTTATCTATCTGAAATAGTACTCAAGTTATAGGCTTTTAAAAAATTCAAAGTAGGAAAAGTACCACTTCCGGTTATCGGAAATCGCTCAAAAGTTGATACGGATCTACGATTTTGATAAAATACTTATATATGAAATTTCATCAACCTAGCTGTAACGGTACTCAAGTTATCGTGTTTACACACGGACAGACAGACAGACAGACAGACACACACACACACAGACATACGGACAAGATTGCAAAATTATGTTTTTCCGTATCAGTGAGGTGTAAAACGTCGAGATTTGTAAAAATCTCGATTTTTTTTTTTTGCACGATTACAATACTTTCTCTATACTACGTATATACGAGAAAGTAATAATGTGAAAAAAAGAGGTAGAGTTAATGTTGAATATTTTTTCTGAAAAGCTTTGATCACGAGAAGTGGGTGTGTGGGTTAAATGCTTGAAGGATCGAATACCTATAGAATATCCATTGAAACTTTTTATCTGTAATCTTACATCAAAGAGTGGACAACATTTACCAACATATGCACGATGGATACTTTCCTATACACCTAAAGCCAATTTTAAAACCTTACACTTAATACGCCGAAATCCGACCGTTAACGTTGCTACGACAAAATGCGATTTTTTTTCTCCTCGAAATAAACATTGATTATGCTCGTCTAATTAATTTAAAAGTTAACGCTGTAAAGAGTTAAAACAATATTTACAAGTTTACATTTAGATCTACTAACTTTTATTTACAAAAGTACTAACAGTTTATGTGGTGGATGTACTCAGCACACTCAGATAGTAGGACTATGTGTTTGATTTATTACCTTCCCCCTACTACAGAAAAACAGCGAGGCTAATCCACACATCTAAAACAGTCTATAGTTTATACCTAATACAAAACTGAAAACAATAAATCATAAAGAACAGTTTGATTTCATCAACATTCTAAATGTTCAACTCAGCGAAGACAAAAACAAGCAGAACTAACGCAACCACGACACTGTTGATATTATATAGTTTAGATCTAGATCTTTCTGACTTAGGCTGGTGCCTCTCATTTCATTTGAACTGATTTTAAGCCGATTAGATTAAAACTGATTAAAGTGGGTTAAGCGAATGGCGCTACATTGTTCTAAAGACGTGCTAGTACATATGTCAATAAGATATTTAAACATCTACTTTATGCTTAATGAATAGTAAACATTCAAGCGTTATATATATTTACCACTTAGATCTAAACCCTCAGGTTTCACTTTGAAAATGCTTAATTAAAAAGATGGTAAGAATAGAATGGCGTCCTTTAACGAAACGAAGTACATATATCCGTTCATTAGCAGGTGATCTTTCAAAACGGTGCTTGCTTTTCTAATCTTGGTGTGAAACCAAATTCATACAAAATATTTTATATCATGGCCGATTGTTTACCAACTCAAGCTACCAGTAACACATCAGATGCAAAATGTCTGTTTTGTGGAGTGGAATTCATTTAGAGCTAGAACCCATCTATAGAGGCGACACTTGGCAAAGTTAGACTTTTGGAACAATGTCCATTGATGAGGTTGTCAGGAGGCAGAGCTATAAAAAAATTAGCCTGTTTTCTTTTATGCTTGCGAAAGGTTCGAGTTATCATTTTTAAATCTATTCATATATGAAGCTATTCGCAGTGTACTTCTTAAAATCGATATTGACAAAGAAAGAGAGTTGGTGTAGAGCTACAACCCCACGACAGAAGAGTGGCTTGGAAAAGATTATAGAATGTTTCCAGATCTTGATGTTGACACATTTAACCAATACCACAACAGCAATAATAAACGGGGTTATTTAGGCCATGGTCGATTGGACGAACATAACCGAATGAATATTTTTACCACGCATGCGTTGTGAAGTATTGAAAGTCCATAGTCCCACACATATTTTTCATGGTGGCTTTTCTTACACAACTATTGTTGGAACTTACTTGGATCCTACACATATAACATCTGGTTATGTCTTTAGTTTCATTATGATTGTTCTAACATTTCGCCTTGACTCCCCACTCTCCTTGAGGCTGTGTATCAACTAGTCAGGTTTGATTCTTGATACCTGAGTCTCCTTGACTATTGCTGCTCTAGTATATACTTGACACATAGATACTTAACCACCATAAAAGTGGTTTATAACCTTGCATGGTGGTCTATTCCACAGCTTCTATCATCGTGTCTGTTTCCATACAGGGTTGTACAAGAATACCGACGAAAGCTTTTTTATGAAACATATTTATTGAAATTCATTCCATCCTAATGTTTCCGACTAGCTATAATTTACAAAGCAGAATCGTAATGTTTGCCAAAATTTATATTGATTTGTTATTCGATTAAATGATTATATACGTGAAGCTATCAATGTATTTTTATATTCAGTCTTAAGTATTTCCTTTAGTTAACTCTTTTTTAATACGTTATCCACTCATACACACTTCTTTAGACCAATATTTCACGACAACTGTTGTTTAAATTACTGCCTTGTTTTACCCTGAGGATTAACAATTAATGTGAAATCGAAGTTTGAATTAAGTAAATGTAAACTAGTGTGACAGTGATAACCGTGGTCGAGGGTCCACTGTGAATTAATGTAATACCTAAAAAGTAATATAGTACAACACCAAACAGGTGCTAACACTTAAACCATAAGGCCAAATAGAAGGAAAGAAAGAAAAAGAAATGCATTTCAACAGTTTTGATACTTTTAAAAACACGGTCTAGTCTGTAAAAGTAGGCTACTGTCTTTTTTATACGCTTCCGTCAGTCAATTAACTCTGAACAAAATTGATTTTTTTTTTTAAAATCGTGAATTCGGAAAATAAACATTTTCTGTACAAAGTTTAAGAAAGTAAAATCATTTCATTTGTAGTTGTGCAAACAGCCAGTGCTGTAATTTTATTTTAATTAAAATAAGAGAAGAAAAACTCCGCCGCCTAAACACCACCAGCCTTATGGTGCCAAAACCTGTATAAAGTAACGGAACTTTCAATTACAGAACTCATAACTGACAAAAGGTTGAGGCAACACTGGAATTCTCACATGAACTTAAGACAGTCGCTGACTAAAGTCACCTGAACTTAAGACATTCGCTGACTTAAGTCACCTGAACTTAAGGCATTCGCTGACTAAAGTTTATCTGTGCATTCTCCACCTGCTTCAGTCCTTCCTGTACCTGTTTCAGGCTTTCCGAAATAATATTTTTGAGGTCAAACGTTCCCCCTCCTTGTTGTGCTTGTCCTGCCTGTTCCATTACTATGGGAATCGTTTGACGTCCGCGCTCCGTGTCTCGCCTCTGTTGCACCAGATCTTCAAATCTCTTCTGGTGATTGCGTTCTATTTCCCTCCTCTGTTGCTCATCGCGTTTTAAGTCCTCAATTTGATTTTCATAATCCTCTCTTTGATATTTCAGCTCTTTATCGAAGATCTGTTGCATTTCTTCTTCCTGTTGTCGCATTTGTAGTATTTCTTGAATACATCTGCAAGCGAAAACGTTTTCATCAGAGACCTGTTTTTGTAGAGATTTCACGGTTTGAGTCAGGTCTTGAAGAGCTCCAGAAAATTCTTCCTGCTTGGCTAGTATGACCTGGACAGTATTGGTTTGACTCAACATCTTGTCAAGTGTGACTACGTCTACTGTCTCATGTGAGACTTGCGGCTGGTCAACAACTGGACGTTCTTCCTTGACCGTGGTCTCGCCGTTTGTCGTGAGCACCTTTGGTTTGGCTGCCACATTATCTTTGATTTTCTGAGCCTTTTCATAGTGAGCTTCCGTATAACGTCGATCGCGAAATCTCAACTCATCAACCATTTGGACTAATGTGTCAACTTGTTCTTTTTTCTTTTTCTCGTCTTTGGTTTTATTATCAAACAAAATCACCCTATTGCAACACTCCTCGACCAAATCCTTAAAGGCGCCATCTTGTTTTTGGCACCACTCTGAGAAGTCCAATCCTACTGGATCTGTTTCCTCCTGATCTTGATGAAAAACATCTCCGCATGTCAAGATTAGAATACAAAATTTACGAACAAAATCATGTCCGAATATTTTCTTTAACAACACAACCGACTCCTGTTCTTCACGTGTAAACCTATTGCCATATTTCAGGACGAGAAGAAAAGCATGATAGCCGTCAGGATTGGCTGCCAGAGCCAATTTTGCTGCATCATTCAACTGCTCAACTGACCGTTCATTATCCAGCCTTGTGTCACAAAATGCCAGACCATCCACGACTTTAATCTGACGACCCTTGTGTTCTGTGATATCGGCGTCGAACTCTTTTGTCACAGAAGATGTACTGGACTCACTCGCAAACTTTCGTTTTCCTGCAATGGAATTTCCAGTCGCACTTTTGCCATTCCCGGTTTTTCCAATCAGGAGCAGCTCGACACTAGTCTGTATATTCATACTTTTCTGGTGAAAGAAAAGCAAAATATTGGATATCTGAAAAATATTGGATACCTGTAAAATATTGGATAGCTATAATATATAAGCATTGTAGCCCTACTAAAAGTTAATTTTTTTTTACAACAAAAAGATAGAGAAAATATAACTATTATTTCTTAGTACTTATAATTTTTTATAGCATTTATTCTCAAACTTCTGACTAAACAGTAGTATATTTTGCTAACAAGTTATCTATATCAATGAAGTCGCATTTTTGATCAGTTAGGTATAGATCTATTTATATTCAAGGAAATGTATTTATTTTGCTACTAGAAACTATAGTCGATTCATTTCTAAATCCAACAACCATTGGTTAAGGATTTTTGGTAAATCACAGATACGCCAGTTAGCTTAAATATTGCTTTAAGCTAAGAACATTCGACTGTCATCACACTGACCAATCAGGTTTGGTGTTTGACTGACCAGTGTGGCTAGATCTACTATTATAAATAGTGTGTAAACAGGCCACTTGGCTGTAGTGCTGTAATGCAACAGTAAGAGAAAATAACACACGTTTCAAATAGCCAGACTGCTAACATAATTATGTAGATTAAGAAAAATAGAACTCACAGTGAGGAATACCTTATGATCAATACTAAGAACTAGATCTAGTTATTTCTCCACTGAATTCACTAAATTCCAATGACAGTAAAATGGGTATAATACATGGGTGTCTTCGAGCTCGGCCTGATCCGCTCCCCTGCGGTGAAAGTCAGTGTAAATCAACCCATTCATAAAGCGTTGTTGAATAAAGTGTGCTTGTGTTTTTTTACAAGGTGCGCAATATTACATTAAATGATTACATATGTGTGCTACCCTTTCTTTGCTTTAGAAACTCTCAGTTCACACTTTATCATCTTGACTTTATTCAACTTCTGATAAGTCACTGATATATTGTTTGAAATCCCGAGCTAATTACAATGAACTCGTTTGTTTTATTCATGCAGCTTTTTATAAATCCACTTTGTATGATAAATTGCAGTTTCTTCCATACATCTCTTCTGTGGGGGGGGGGGGGGGGGGACCCCGAAGCAGTGTTTCATCCAGACTTTTTTCTCCGGGGGGGGGGGGGGGGCGGTAGACTCTCTTCGGGGCGGGGGGGGGGCGGACACTGTTAAAAGTATATATTTTCTATATAAATTAAATAAATTTCATTTCGTTCGGAAGTGGTACTTTTTCTACTTTGAATTTTTCAAAAGCCTATAACTTGAGTACTATTTCAGGTAGATAAATGAAATTTCACATGTAAGTAAAAGATCTAATTCTCTACCTTCTGTTAAATTGTGAGTAATTTCCGTTGACCGGAAGTACTAATTGACGCTATTTCCGATTTCTCAAAAAACGCATGTAAATTTATAAAGTACTAATAATATTGCGCACTATTATGCACATCTTTATTTAGCGTTCACTTGGTGTGCAATTCTTTTTTCTACGAGATTATATTCTATTTTTAAAAGTTTGAGTATTTAAAATGGATTAAAAATCATGTCTAGAAGTCTATATCCCGAGTTGCCATCCCCCGTAGTCTTATATTAGAATATTCGAGAAAGTTTAGGGGGAGATCACTCCCGGTTTATTTAACACAATTTTTCTAATACCAAACTCTTCCTAACAAACACACTAGTTGATTTCACTTCATATTTTTTCACTATTTTTTTCAAATTTACAATTTAAGTAGTTCCATAACGTGAAAAAAAATGATGTATTTATCAGTTGTATCACAAATATCCAGCGTTTAGTTCTAGCGTAATAACTCCGGTTTTAAGATAGTTTTAGTGTTTTAAGCTGTTTTTTAATCCACTATGCGATTCTGTACAATTTTAAATGATTATTCAGACAGTTTATGGGAAATATTAGTTTTTTGCTTTTGTTCAACAATGTAAAGCACGTGAATGCTTATAAAATTGTTATCCTTTACAGTGGATTATCATAGATGTTTTTGTTCATGATATGTGTATTTGATTAACAAAACACACGAACATTAAGTTTCCAATATTTTGGTACTTAAAGCCCACATTTATTTGCAATAATAATGACATTTTTTGGCGGTTAAACAATAGAGATTACGGAATTAATAGATATAATGATAAATATTTCAATGTATATATTTTTTGTGGATTAATCTACACCGTCATAAAAAACAATATCAATTCTAATAAGAAACAATTTTTTGATAAGTAAAATATATGTACAATTAGTTTGAAAATGTACTTTTCAAATAATAACTGCGTTCTGTAATCTGATCTTAATCAAAAACACTTACAACCTATGCTTCTATGAAAAGAACAAAGGGTGCGAAAACACTTTTATATATTTCTTGATAAAACATCTTGAAAATTTTAAGAATACCGTGTGAATCTGCTCATATTAACATATAATATATATATATATAATATATATATATATATATATATATATATATATATATATATATATATATATATATTTTAAGAATACCGTGTGAATCTGCTCGTATTAACATATAATATATATATATATATATATATATATATTTATATATATATATATTTATATATATATATATATATATATATATATATATATATATATATATATATATATATATATTTATATATATTTATATATATATATATATATAAATATATATATATATATATATATATATATATATATATATATATATATATATATATATATATATATATATATATATATATATATATATATACATACTATTGAAGAATGTAATAAAATTCCATGCATTTGAAAAAAGAAAGGGATTTAATTAGTTGAGCGTTAGAGTATTATGGAAAGCTTCAATAGCTCCCTTGCCATAAGGTAAAGCAGGGAAATTGAATTTTTTTGCTGTTTCATTTTTCATTAGACGAGTGAAACAAATTTTTGAAGCGGATATTATCAGTGATAATGAATAAAACAAAACTGCATTTAATTAAATGATTTTGCCTCAATTATCGTATTTTATTTTACCCAAAATATATATAAAACGTTTTTTTTTGGAAACCGAACTTCATTATTGATAAGTATTTTCAAATTCAAAACTGTAGCCTGTCGGTTAAGCAGTCAAACAACAACAATAATTGAACCATAATTAACATAGCATGACTCATTCCTCTTCATCATCAGAAGGCATATTCATACAAGTATGATATATATATATATATATATATATATATATATATATATATATATATATATATATATATGTATATATATATATATATATATATATATATATATATATATATATATATATATATATATATATATATACGAGCCGACTTGCGGCTTATCATACGCCGCAATTTTAGTTGTTTTATTTTCTACTTTTCAGTAATTCATAATTTGTGAATTCGACGGTACCAATGCTGCCGTTGAAAATATTTGCTTTAAAACACTATCAGATGGTTTTTAAGGACGATACCCTTTCCTTTCCCCTAACCCCAACCCATACCCCAACCCCTTCCCCACCCCACTCCCCCCCCCCCCTTGAAAGCAAACTCCTCTTCGTTACCTGCCCTAATTTTAAAATCGTTTCAAACTACATTATCTGCCCCTAATAACCGTCACTAAACCCGGCTCACCAGACTTCTTAGAGGGGAAGAGAGGGGACTGCAAGATGCGCTTACAGCTTGTTTTCTAACGTCTACAAGAAGAGAATTATATATATACGAGCCGGCCCGCGGCATAACATACGCCGCTATTTAGTTGTTGTTTTTTCTACTTTTCAGTGATTCATAATTTGTGAATTCGACAGTGCCAACGCTGACACTGAAAATATTTCTTTAAAACACTAAACCCCCCTCCCCCCCCACGTGATAGCAGCCTCCTCTTGGTTACCTCCTTTAAGTTTAAAATCGTTTCAAACTAAATTATCTGCCCCTAATAGCCGTCACCAAACCCGTCTCTATGATTGTAAAATGTAAACAGCGTGAACTACAGCTCACCAAACCATGTGAGGGGGTGGGGGGTAGTAGCGATAGAGAGGAAGAGAGGGGACTGTAAGGCGAGGTTGCAGCTTGTTTTCTAACTGATCCCAGAAGAGAATTATATATATATATATATATATATATATATATATATATATATATATATATATATATATATATATATATATATATATATATATATATATTATATATATATATATATATATATATATATATATATATATATATATATATATATATTATATATATATATATATATATATATATATATATATATATATATATATATATATATATATATATATATATATATATATATATATATATATGAGGGGGGTGGGGACACCATGAGGTCCCGCACCGGGTTTAACCCGACCAAGCGACACCACTGGTAGATCCGGTCTGGGCATCAAATAATAGTTACTACACGATACAATATTTGTTGTGAGATACACGTTAGCGAACTGTGAACTTCAGCTTTGTTTAGTGAGCTGTAATACCCAACGACAATTTTACAAAACAAAAATTATATAATTAGTTTTAAAGTGGAATAAAACATCTTATATACTTATAATATACTTAACTAATTTCATATTTAAATGTTGACATTTATATTGTTTTTAACGTTTTATAAGAAATCAACTATTTATATTGTCTTAGCGATTCGCACTCAGTAATGTTCAATAAACTTAATGAAGAAAATTACAAGATTAATAAAATAGAGATAGAGACGCCACGTAATTAGGGCGGAGAGACTTTTCGCAGAACAGACGTATTGGGATTGAAGCCTAAAATGGTATTATGTACCACGTGATATATCGATCAAACCTCGCTTGAATGATAATATTATGAGAGAGTATCACCGAGATTGACAAAAAATTCACCAAAATGAAAAATTAAACATGCACATACATGTTTTTACCATAGTGGACATGGTTACTTAGTTAGACAACAGCTTTACCCAAAAAATATCTGGATAATTTAGTTTTACATTTCGGCCAACAGTTTTTCAAAATACACGACCAAAATCAATGTATCCATTGGTAATTCATTCAATTTTTGATGCAAGGATTGACATGTCAATGTGCCTAAGGGAACCTTAAAATTTACCTTATCTTTCTTTGTTTACATACTCGACCATGTTACTCCCCTGTTATATGAGTTATATTATGAGTGTTCCAAGAACTTTAGTCCACTTAACCAAGAGTCTGCATCTACTGTGGTGGTATCCCACCGCTCAAGCGGAACGCACAACAGCTGAAGCTTTTGTCAACAGCTTTAACGTCAAACAGAGGTGCATCATACAGTAAGTAGCCAATTTCTTTTAGTATTTTTTTAAAATACTAAACTTTCGTCTTGATTTTATTTAGTATCATAATATGTGTGTAATTTTGATATGCATACATATGTGTGTGTGTTGTGTGGGTGTGTATTTGTGTGTAAATTCCCCTTAAGATGCGTTTTCCATTAAACAAAGAAACTACTAATGTCAGGAAATTATGCTTCTGATCTGATTTTAGAGGGTAGGTTTAGTAGGCGCTTATTTGTTTAGACCAACCTTTTATGTTCTATCTTTGGAACAGTCTTTGTTGTGATATGGTACATAGTTGGATTATAAGTTTGTTAGAAAATGGTCATGCAATTGACATACATTAGCAACTTATGATAAACATTTATTGTACACACTGGAATACGACGTGGACATTTCGTTGACTGGTTGATTGTACAAATAGTATAATGAAACAAGCTAGAGGAAACAAACTAGAATCCAACGGACATAACAGCTCGAAGTCTTGGATTTATCAGATGTGCGCTGCCTTCTCGCACTTAGTTAAAAACAAATTTAGAACAAATTGGACATGCTTGAAGAAGCCGTAATAACCGGTTTAATTATAGCGGCAGCAACCGCGACGTTCGAATTAGTATCTGCAGCGATAAAACGCGTTTTAACATTCTAAGCCAATTTGAAATTCAAATGCATTGTCAAAAAAATTCAATCAGGATCTATAGCTAAATGTGAAGTCTCTTTTGCTGTATGGCTCGGGGCTAGGTTACAGACAAAGCAGAATGAAATAAGAAAAGGTGGTGGTTAGGTCACATTATCAGAAAGACAGTAAATAACATCAATAAGCAAATGCTTGTGTAAAGTCCATGGGGAAAGAGGAAGAGAAGAAGACACAAATTGATGAAGGAAATAGTTTGAAATACAATTAAGAGAGGCTAGATTATTAGGGTTCGATCTTCATGAAAATCTAGTGAGTTGACGAAGTGTCGCCTACGCCTATGATCTTTAGGAAATCCAAAGGAATAAAAAAGAATAAAATCAAAAGAGTTTACAGCAGTTTTTCTTTACCTGGGTTTGATTGAACCCAAGAGGCTCGATGAGTCAGCCACAGGGCTTCAGCTGAGGTCAAGGCACACACCCAACTCATATGATTCAAAATCAGATTTTGTCAGTGTGGACGATGCAACTTTTAAAAGGGTTTGGTGAATGCGCCCACCCCCCGCCCCACCTCCCCACCATCTTGGACAAAGTTGGTAGAACAGGTTTTAATTTAACTAACTTTTTAAGAATGTTATACAATCGTACAATACGCTTTAGAACAATTAATTTCTATTCTAAGTGATAAAGATTATCTACTCACCAATGCCGTGTAAATCCTTGCTATTTTAGTTGGTGAAAAAGCGCCCCGCTTGATAAAAGAAACCGGTGTATGCCGGTGAATGGTTCTTAAGGGTATAAGTTTTACAGTTACACAATCAAGTTAGAAAACAGTTAAATCAGTATGTAAAAGCTTGTGGCCATGCATTTCTTAATTTAGACTGTTTATAAGTCATAGCTGCCGCATAAATTCAACTTTTACATTTTACATTTTTTGCCCACCCCTTTTGGCGCCCCACTAGGGTCGGCGCCTAGGGCGGCCGGCCCCCCCCCCCCCCCCCCATCAAGCTACGTCTCTGCATACATAGGCATTCATTTTGTATAGGTTGCCCATGCCCGCCGATGTAAGGGCATTCAACCATTTGGATTACCCTGGTCTCCTGCAGATATCTAAAAATAAACTGTCAGCTCTATTAATAAAACAAATAATGAATAGAACATTGTCGAATCATTTCTGTAGGAATTTCTGTATTTGTGTTGTTAAAAAAATAGGATACTTATTTTTTTAATGGAGAATATATATATATATATATATATATATATATATATATATATATATATATATATATATATATATATATATATATATATATATATATAATCAAAACAAATTAAAAAACAACAACACATGTACACAAAACAAACTCTAATAGGGCTAGAAATTCCAAGACTCTGAATTTAAATTGTACAAGTTTTTGTTGGTACGCCGATCCTCTTCTGTGCCGGTACATATGTTACATATTTTAAGACAACCGATGTGTTTCAAAGAGTCTTACAGTACATGATCTAAGCCACCCTTCCATCCCCTCGAAGCGCAAACAGGACGTGTTAGAAAATGTTGTTTGGGTCTGCGACGTGTTAAAAGCAGATAGCAACAAGTGTTGAAACGTTTGCCAATATTCCTATCGACAACTTTCATGTTACTAAAAAGTAAGTTAACACAACTGTTTTTTTTAAAATACATAACTAAACTGTTATTATAATCTACGTTTCTTTACAAACTATTCTATTTATCTGTGAACTAAACTTTTCTTTAAAATGTCGGGTGTGCATTTTCGAGACTGTAATGGCGAAAAGGTTGCTAAGCGTACAGTGTTTTTTTAAAAATAGACGATTACAACAAAGCTCTATCAGTTTCGTTAAAGTTTAAAAAAAGAAATATCGGATGTGCACTTTGTAAATATCCTAAGGCTTGTTTACACTTGGTATACAGTCATAGGGTTGGGGCGGCTAATGGTGTCGGTGTATTGTACATATTGGGACGGCGATATTAAATGTTAGGGATCACTGTGTCGATTAGTCTTTTTTTATGTTTTTAGTTGGGGTTTGCGTTTAGGTTATGTTTAAAGTAAGATCAGATTATATGTATAATTTATAAATTAGTATTAAGGGATTTTTAAAAATCTGGTTTTGAAGTAATACTTTCATATTCTCTGATTCATCTTGAGATAGATAAATCTAAATATATTGACAAGGGCATGAGAAAAAAAAACAGAAAGATCGCCGTTAAGCTAGTTAGTTGTGCACTGAATAGGACAAAAAGAAACAAACGATTGAGTTAAAGAATGTTTATAGCATACAAATAATTTTTCCCACAGCATGCATGTTTATAGCATACAGATATTTTTCCAAACAGTTTAAGAATATATGTTTATTTATATAGCATACAAATTATTTTTCCCACAGTTAAAGAATACATGTTTATAGCATACATATATTTTTCACACAATATTTGTTTATGTTTTTAGCATATAAATATTTTCCCCACAGTTAAAGAATATATGTTTATGTTTAAAGCATTTATATATTTTCCCATTATCACTCTCACAAGAACCAGCCATGGACCAAAAGCTGTTTATTGGACCAGGTGTTATAGCTATAGGCCTACTCCTGCACACTGTTGGTCAAGCTACGCCATATTGGGATAGTTTTGTTACTGAAGACTCGTCTGTCCACTTTGGCTTGTGGGAAGTCTGCAATACGTTTGGGTGTAATAAAATACAAATGAACAGCCCAAGTAAGTAAAAGTTTTACACTTAAATGAATTTGGATGCCGGACGTTTAGTAAGAGACTTGCTAGAACACCTTTTGCACGGTAGTTTGCCCTAGACCAATTTATTGCCATGGTCAATTAACGTTTAATTTTATAATAATATATAAGATACAGGTAGTAGAAACGTGCACACTAATTATCTGTATTGTAGATTCCAGGGTGTTGCTATAGTGATGAAATTAAATATAAGACTCAATATATTTAGTGAAATAAATACTACTAGAAGCAGATAATTACGTTCATTTACTTTACTATATAAATATAGTACATATAAATATAAGAAAAACAAAATGTATACCATGTAACATTCTAAATTGATCGATGAACATTAAAATAGAAAAAGTTAATTTTATCTAAAATGAATTATAATACACTTTGAACAGCGAGTCTGTATGCATTTAAGACCAAACACAACAAAAAGACTGCAACTGTTCCAATATAAATGTTACCACAGTCCTGACGCCCCTCTACCACGCCAGCAGAGCTTTCGCCATCATGGGAGTTTTGTCCGGAGCTGCAGCGGTTCTCACGATATTTCTCTACGTGTTTCAAGTCAAGCTCGTCTACGTCAAAATATCCGCAGCATTGGGAGCTGTATCTGGTAAATTGACATTCTAACATTTTCATAGGCCGATGTCGTTATATAAAAAAATGTCGTTATATGATAGGCCTAGACTAATTTAGAAGAAAATTAGTGGATGAAATAAATTAAAACATATTTTTAAGTATTAGCTTAAAGTATATAAAAAAAGTATTACACTTTTATCGTGAATTCATTCGACATAAGTAAAAGTGTTATAGTAATACGCTGTAAATAACCCTGCCTTCTTAACAATATATTTTTCATCAATATTTTTCAGGTGTGTTGATCGCCATATGCGCCATTGTGTGGTTTGTGTATGCAGTTGATATGTATCCAGTGAATGTATTCGGCTACTCTTTCATCCTTAGCTGTGTGGGATCGGTTTTGTCGATCAAAGGCAGCATTGTCAGCTACGTGATGGTCAGGAGACACCATCGCTTTGGTTATGCGACCATCGTCTCTCCCTAGTTATGTCTTGTTGGAGACTAACATTTACAACTAGTTAGGTTATAGCGGTGGCGTAACATGGAATTGTTTATGGGAGAGGTTCAACATTTTTTCCATTGTATAAAATCATATATATATATATATATATATATATATATATATATATATATATATATATATATATATATATATATATATATATATATATATATATATATATATATATATATATATATAGGAGTGTGAGTCCATGGGATGGGAGGGGTTATAACCCCCCCCCCCATTAACCCCCCCCCCCCCTTTGCCTACGCCACTGGGTTATAGCTGTTTCTTTCATTTTAGGTTATAGCTTTTTTTTTCATGTTACGCTTGGCTGATGTTGTAATTTATGCTAGGCCATGAAGCTACTGTCGCTTGGCATGTTTACCTGGAAGAAAGTTTTGTGTCCCTATCTATCATTAACTTAATAAGTTCAATAATATTTACCTTCATTTAAATTAGCTTAAATTATTTTTTAGAAAGTCTGTTTCTTCTATTTTTATATTTTTTAAAATAAAAACAGAATGAACGCACTTGTTTATCTAGAACGAGTTAATCTAATTTCCCCCCTCCCCCTTCCAACACACCAAACCCTTCTGGGATAGTTTTTGGTTATCTTTTTAAAAAATGTAATGATATTAAAAATGTTAAACGCATTCTTATAAACTACCACACACACAATCTATAAACTTAATTAAATAAACAAGTTTAGAAGTTATTTTGATGAGGACTCGACAGTTGAATAAGTAAATAATTGATTAGGACAAAAAAAACACTGCTTTAATTAGTCAGTTATAAAGCAATTCTGCAATTCATTTTGTAAAACAGTTTTAATAATATATCCCATGACATAAAGATATTTATTCAAATCAATCCACCTACAACACATAAAAAGTTTAAAATCATATTATTTATATTTTATAAACTTCACATTCTGCAAAATTACTATAGCCTCGCTATGAATTATTACTTCACTAAAACATTATAATCGCTACATGATAGACCGTTCATACATAAAACAAGGAAATTTTTATAAATAAATACCAGCACTCACCTCGTAAAACATCTACCAATCACACTAATATTTGCCAATCGCATTTTTTTTCTTGAGACAACATAATTGCTTGCTGGAGCTTTGAATATCTAAAACAACTGATATTTTTTTTTATTTTCGTCAAAGAGTATTACTTTCACAAGTCAGATATTTTATAAAAATTAAGGGCAAAGGAAAACAAGAAGAATCAAAACAACGAACCCCAACATCGCAAGACACCATGAAGCAGAAACCAAACCCTACATCACCCATTCCTCACCCCCAACATCCCCCCTCTAATTTTATTAATAACACGACACATCCCACTGCAACACATACCATAAACCAAATCTCACCCCACTTACCCGGCTATCCAAACTCATCCTATACCATAAACACAATCCATCATACACCAAACAACACACCAACAAAACACAACACATGGTGTAAATCAAAACATACACGCCGCACGCCATGCCACACACAATTGCACACTCCTCGACACCATGAACGACACCACGAATCAAACCCCACTAAACCCCCGTCAAAACTTCACGGTATGCTCCGAACGTTACAACCTAACTACACAACGTACGCCACACCCCGCAAAAATACAACAAATAAACATTACACCTTATATAGTACATTAAACCACACAGTTCACGTCGCAAATCACGCTACCTTATATAGCACAAACCACACTTTAAACCACTAATTTCATATTACATAACAATCATTTATTCATCTCCATTCACAACACACAAAAGCCTAATATACTCTACACATACATTCTACAGCAAACAACAGTCTACTCTACATATACATTTCACAACAAACAACAGTCTACTCTACACACACATTCTACAACAAGCTACAGTCTACTCTACATATACATCTCACAACAAACAACAGTCTACTCTACTCTACACATACATCACACAAGACAACAACAGCCTACTCTACTCTAGATATTCACCATACAACACACGTAGTAGATACAACCCCAACCCACCCCACCCCGCACCACTTCACACCCACTTCACACCGACACCGAACGACACATAAACAGCAATACGAACAAAAGTCAACACAATCCCGCCACACACCTAACTTAAACCCCTTACCACCTCCACACCCCATTCTCCTGGCCACACTACACCACCCCATACCCTAACCCGCAAGCATAACGACACCCACTAACCCAAGAGCCTCATACAATCATTCATCTTAGACCATACACACTACTTCTTGATACAACACACAACACACACATAAATCACACATCAACACGCTCCACTCGTATATCGAATACGTGCACTTTACTGCGTGATCCAAATCTGTAAATAACACCGTATTATTATAGTAAAGTAGTAATATATACCGTGTCTATTGCATTTAGATATATTTAACCCTGCTATCAAAAGCGATATCAATATAACCGAAGTCTCTTATATCACTGTATTATCCAAATTGCTGTATCTATCATGTGTTTGTCATGCTGGTATAGAGAGCAAAACTACAACTCTGATGATTGCATTAATCATAATGGTCTATTATGTCTAATTTAACATTCGCACTTTACGCTAACAACTAAATCGACAGGAATTATTTAAACAAATGTATATTATTCTATTGGATAACATAACTAACTACAATACAAAGTAGTTTTAACCTTTTCCTGGAGTTGAATAATTTAACCTGACATTAATTAATGCAACGAGATTTAAAAAGTGAAGGTAAATATACTATACAACATGTTTGTTTCCTGTTAAATTATCTTTGCTGACGTCAACAATGAACGATTTGTTTAATTGAATGATATTATTCATAAAATTTAATTAAACTTTCCCTTCAACTAACAAAATAATCGGTGGGATTTTGAAAAAATAAATAACTAGTCTAAATATTCTTTACCTTTCATTTATTTTAATTAAGACCCGTAACATAATACCCAGTGCGTAGGAAAAGAATAAAAATGAGGGAGATTTAAATAAATTTAAACTTAAATTGCAAAAATGTGTTTCCCGTTAAATTACAACCACTGTCATAAAAGGTATACATAAAAAATGTATTATTGTTTTCATGTACCTGTTATACAAATGAATTCATTACTTTCTGCCAATATACGCCTGACAATTATTTGAAATTGAAACAAATTATACAATTTAACTAACTGCATGTGCATACTATTTTCTTTATGTTCTTTGGTTGACGAAAGGAAGAGGAATGCACGAGATTTGCCGTCAACCAAAAGAAAAATTGCAGTACATTAAAGACCAGAATACTTTATTTCAAATAGACAGAAGTTGCGTGACAGTTTTTTTTATCTCTATTTTACGCGTTGTTCCCCTAATAAATGGTACTTAAGTGATCAGATGTGACTGATGGCAACAACTGATATTCTCATGAGAAAAAGACTCATTGTTCCAACATTGACGAAGAAAACGTTGCTATATCAATGACTGATGGAATGACACACTACCTAGCGGCGTGTATTATAGATCAGATTTATATTGTCCACGGATCAAAATCTATGGTATATTAAATTAGAAAACTAATGAAGATTGTAATTCATGTTTAACTATCATTTTATTCAAAGTTTCTTTAACTGAAGTTACCTTTACCTCTGTTCCTACACATAAAACTCAATAGATCATAGACTTATCAAGAGATATTAAAGTACGGGACTGTACGAGGTTTTGCTTCGTTGAACCTATTGTTGAAGTGTTTTCGTGTTGAACCGTGCAGGTATAAATGTAGGTGACCTTCACGATACAATCGTCAACCAGGATGTGTTCAGTTTAATGTGACAGTTTTTATGTACATAGAACACTGTGCGAAACAATTGAGAACTTTGAAACATTTCAAGATGATAGTGTGCATTATGTGTGGCTATTGTCTTCAAAAAGAAGTCAAAGTGGGGTAGGGAGGGGGAGGGGGTACACGAGCACCGGATGGCACATTTTGTCGTAAGGTTGTCATAAAACACACTTGATCTAGCCAGAGGCGTAGCGACCCTTCCCGGCGCCCGTGGACAAACTTTCGATTTGCACCCCCCCCCATCAAACTTTTGATTTCCACCCCCCCTCAAACTTTTGATTTGCACCCCCCATCAAACTTTCGATTACTTTTTCCAACCTATTTTTGCGCCCCCTAAGGTCGGCGCCCGGAAACACATGTCCCCCCCCCTGCCCCCCCCCCCTCCCCTCTGTAACTAGCCCTAGTTCAGGTGTAGTCGCTTTACTTGTTTCCATTCAATGAAGAATAAACTACACATAAGCTTAAGCCTTTCACTTCCCCCCTCCCAGTGTACATACCACTGCCATCACTCTCTGCATGTGGATGGAAACACTAGCAGATGTAGCGAGAACTGATTACTCCAAAGACTATCATGTAAGTCTCAGGCAAATTCAACACAACAGACAGTAGTTATCAACATTTTATCACTCTGCTTACATCACGTTTGGGAGTTCAGATTTCTTTGTCTGTTAAATAATGTGTTGTGTCACTGTTTTCTGAAAGTTTTATTAACGCAAACGACAGAAGGAATACGCAATAAGCTTATAACCACCTTACATCCTGTCGATGTGTTTTCTATATGTAGTTTCTATTTATAGGCATGCACATTTTTATAATTTTTAACGGAATTTTTAAACAGAATTTTGTATTATTTCTTATTGTTATTTTTAACTAAATGTTGGCAGAATCGATAATATGGCGACTATCAAGTAGGTTACAGGCACATAACCTATTCATTTTTTGTTACGTTATGTCTTGCTAGTGGTTGTTTCGTCTCATTTTATTATGTTTATCGTCGTTACGTCCCTTGAGTGTTCAGTCTGTTTAGGGTTAAGTGTTGCTGATGTTGACTTATGCAGCAGTTAACTAAAGACTAAGCTGTCTGTGTTTCAGAATAATGTAACACGGTTGACTCATACAACTGTGTTTGTTTAGGTTAGGTGATGTAACAATTATAATTACATTTTTTTTTCATTAGTGCCAAAAAAAGATAACTTTTATCCACATTATATGACAGCCCTAACACACGTTCTCACATTAAAGTTATTCAGTCGGTACACCTATTTACATTCAACGACGGATGTGTTCCCGCAAGCCTAAGAATATAACTTCCTCCTACCAGTTTGATAACACTAGTTTTACCGCCCGTGTGGACGACATAACTGGCAGTTTAGCAAGCCGTATGCATTAAACTTATCTCTTTCAAGTCTCAGCCCATTTCAAGAAGCCAGACAGTAAGTTTTCACAATTTCAATGTATTGTTTACAACGTGTTTGTGAGTTATGTGTCTATTAATTCAGATTATTTGTTGTGTTCTTGCTGTCTTTAAGTGGTCAGTCAATAGATATTGCCACACTTTTAGAGGTTGCGGTAGGAAGGGGGGGGGGGAATTTTAGGAAAGGGACTCTTTGATCATAAACGCTGATAACTCTATTTTAATCGTAATGATTGTATTGGTTAAACTGATATTCAGTCGTTATTTAACGTATTTAACATTACTACTCCATTGGTTTCCAGGCCATGCCACAAGTTTCTAACAATACCGGAAGGTTAATGGTTGGATGGATAGTCATGTTTGTAGGATTAATCCTCCACATAGTCGGTCAGGCCATGCCCTACTGGTTCAGTAACTATCTCGATGAATCCCCTACAAACTTTGGATTATGGCAAATCTGCGATAGTTTTCGCTGCGTTAGGATAGCAATGGACAGTGCGGGTAGGTAAATGTTTTCACAGTTTAAGCTATGCTATCTGCTATGTAAAAGTATTTAAATATTCACCTTAATACAGTGTCCTACATGTAACGTTGTGTTGCAATGGCTTGTATAGAAGACAGGGTAATGTAGGCGTCACACTTGCGATACTGCCGTGTTAAATAATGTATGTGATGCGGGAAACAATACGGCAATCTAATAGATCGTAAATTAAATTCCATAGCTCTCTATACATTAAAGAATGAAGTAGAGTTTACCTGTTGCTAAACTTTTTTGAAGAATAAGTCTGACGAGAGCTTTGTCAACCCATCTGTACTAAACCCTGGAACATTTCAATCACTCATGTTACCTGTCTCTAAACTCACCTGGGCCAACTCTTTCAGTGTGCACAGAGTTTCTTCCAGGCATCTCTCCCACCCCCCCCCCCCCCCACCCCCGAAAAAAGTCTACCCCCACCCCGAACGAAACGGAATGTATATAGAGAACATATACTTTCACCAGTGTCCACCCCCACCCTGGAACATGTTGACCGCCCTTCCCCCCCCCCCCCACCCGGAAATTTCAAGTGTACCCCCCCACCCCATCGGAGAAAAAAGTCTGGAAGAAACACTGAGTATGTGGGGTTATAAATAATGACATTCGTGTTGGAAACATAAGCAATCACATTGAAAACTTTTTAACATAATCATAATACAATGTTAACCTACCTACCAAATGTGTAGGCCTACATACATGTTTTCTCACAAATATTGTGTGACAATGTTCTCACATACATTACATGACAGTCCTAACATCCAGCTACCATGTCTGTCGAGCTGCGGCTGTGATAGGAATTATATTAGGCATCACTGCAATGGTCATGATGTTTGTCTATGCGTTCAAGGAACAGCCCATCTACTCCTTGATATCGTCAGTTATTGGAGTCTTGTCTTGTAAGTACCCGTCGGTATTTGAATTTGAAAAGAGTATTCTATAAAATGGACACAGGCTTTCTTGTTGGTGTTAGATAATGTTTTTATTTTCAACTTAGAAACATCTATTTCACGATAAAATCACATCATTTATAATGTTCATATCATAGTCATTTAGATCTACCAGTTCATTTATAAAATAGAAATCAAAGCTAAGATCTATTTTAAGCATAATTACTATTATAGACTATGTTAGTCTATTTTCCTTACCCGGTTGTTTCTGACTTAAACATTTAAAATAGCATTATATTACACACTTATAGATTTATTTTTCTTAAGTTCGCTTAGTGATTCCGTTTTTATCGTAAAAGCTAAATAAAAACAATTCCGCGTTAAAAAAGGATATTTTGTTTTTTCTAAATAGTGCAACTTTATGTGGGGGACACATACAATCAAAGAGACATGTGTTGTTTTTTTCAGGCGTGTTCATCGCTGTGTGTGTCAGTGTGTGGGCGACACATGTGTTTGATACATCCGGGGACTTTTCATACTATGGCGCCTCGTTCTACCTCAGTTTGTTTGGGGGTGTTCTGTTGCTTAAAGGTAGCCTGTGGGTACTTCTTTTCTCTTTGGGACACTACCGTTGGGCATATCGGCCCATTGAATCATATTAGCCACATGGGATATTGCATATTATGGTGACGTAGCTGTACATTTGGCTATGAATTGATTGATTATAATTCTATTTACATCGTAGTGTGGTATAGAGCTACGTCATATAATACTGTCTTCGATCTTTTGTATTTATATTTCTGCTATATTTTTGTTTTTATAAATGATATGATGAAAAATGTATAGTTACATTTAGTTTTATTGCATAATAAAAGACGCATAATTGTTTTAAATAACGATGTTAAAAATACTACTTGCAATAAAATAGTGTTATTTTTTTCAATATAATCAATATGAGCCACACCGTGTGTTAATGGTGATTTATTGTGTGGGGTCATACACATATTATGTAATAAATAGTGGTGAATACTATTGAATACGTGAATACGTTGGGCGGATGATATGTAAAAAAAAAACAACTGGACATAAACCCGCTGGACATAAATCAGTGGACATATATTTTATGGAATCGACAATATAGATGATGTTAAGGAGTTTGGAAAGTGAAACAATTTTGAAGTTGAAGATATATTTTATTTTACAAAGTTATATTAACAAGCATAGTTGTCGCCATTATGATCTCAGCATATGATGGTATGGTGTGGTCAGCACTATGACCTCAGCATATGAAGGGATGGTGTGGTCATCTTTATGACCTCAGCATATAAAGGAATGGTGTGGCCAGCAATATGACCTCAGCCTATGATGGTTTGGTCAGCACTATGACCTCAGCATATGATGGTGTGGTCAGCACTATGACCTCAGCATATGATGGTGTGGTCAGCACTATGACCTCAGCATATGAAGGGATGGTGTGGTCAGCACTATGACCTTAGCATATGATGGGATGGTGTGGTCAGCAATATGACCTCAGCATATGATGGTTTGGTCAGCACTATGACCTCAGCATATGAAGGGATGGTGTGGTCAGCACTATGACCTTAGCATATGATGGGATGGTGTGGTCAGCAATATGACCTCAGCATATGATGGTTTGGTCAGCACTATGACCTCAGCATATAAAGGGATGCTGTGGTCAGCACTATGACCTCAGCATATGAAGGGATGGTGTGGTCAGCACTATGACCTCAGCATATGATGGTGTCGTCAGCACTATGACCTCAGCATATGAAGGGATGGTGTGGTCAGAACTATGATACTCAAGGGGAGGTCGAGTCGGTAAAGCTCATGGTCGCTAAACCGAAAAGTCTCGAGTTCGAACCCTCGGGCAGATGAGGCTCGTTAGCTGGGGACAGCCACTCTTCTAGGAGAGACAACTCCAAAATCAAACAACTGCTGGTTGAACAAAGGCTATGAAAGCAAATCCAAAAAGAAAAGCAGGCTGAAATCGGAGTCAATAGCCTCAATGGCGCATAACCAGTTGACACGTATTGTGGTATTGTAATGTGTATGAAAGGTGAATACATGGAACGGGTCACTGCGTGTGTGTATGTATCATGTAGTGAGACGCGAGGCCGGGTGTGTTGACGTGTATGTTGTTGTACGGAGTGAACGAGGGTACAAGGGAAGCGACTGGTCGGGTGACAGTGGCTGTGTTGTGAGCGAGAGAAAGGTGGTGTGTAGCGATGAATGCGGAGGACAGTTGAAGGTTGAGTGTCAAAGCAGGTAGGTGGATTTTGGGACTGGAGGCTCGGATGGATAGAGAAATAAAGAACACTGTAATAGCCTCAATCGTGTTGTGCTTTCTTTGAGATTCAGACGCCCTCACACGTATCCTTAATTGTGATGGAGGTGTGGTCGAGTCGGAAAAAGTGCATGGTTGACAAAATACGAAAAAAGTCTCGAGTTCAAACCCTCTGGCAACACTAAAAATTAAGAACAAAGAAGACGAAGAACTATGATGGTCTGGTCAGCACAATCCACATGATACTGAACAAGAAAAAAGTGAACCTTGCTGAACCCAAAAAGTAAATAAACACATGATAAAGTATCTCAGGTGACTCCTATTTTGAAAGGCATTTTTAAATTAAATTACCTGGAGTAACGTTGTCGACAGATAAAACGTTGGATGACAGACAGGCAGCCAACATTCTGTAACAGACAGGCGAGGACATGTAGGGCGTGATGAGTTGCTCATGACATGGACATTGACAACTTACTCAAGCTGGAGTGTTATAATTAATTGTAAACAACATGTCGAATATTATGAAAAACAAAAATCAGCTAGTCTGGTAAGTGGAAATAAACACAATTGGTATGGGATTAACAACAAAGAAAATGTGTTTATTATTAAATAATGGTGTCCTATTAGTTATAACTAAAAATAATGGTGCCTTCTAAGTGACAGCAAACACCATGGTGTCTGATTGTATACAGAAAGCACATGATTTAGTGAAGGCGTCATTTATTTGTTCTGGTTAAATGTGAAACGATCACCATAACATAATTTAATGAAGTTAGAAATGTGAACTAGTAAAGTGATCTCATTGGAATTTTGTTATATTGTACAAGATTTCTTAAATTTACATGTTATGAAACTAATTGTAAATGTTTTCCTCCGTTTGTTTAGTCCCTGCTGTAAACAAAACATCGTAACCACTGTCTCACACCGTGTGTGTATGTCATATAAAAACAGTATTACTCATCTTCGTAAAACTAATGGTACGTAGCATCGCCATGTAACACAACACACAAGTTGAAGTGTAGCCGCTAAACCTGTTTTGTAATTCGATGCAGGTATGCTACATACAATCACAATCCTGAGCGTATTACTTCCCCCTTGTTTGTGTGGGTAAGACTGCCTGTAAATAGGTAGTCAAAACTGAAATTAACTATTGATTGCAGACTTCTGGAGTGAGTATGTCATGAAAGAACTTTTAATTGTAAGCTCTATGCCACAAATTTTATAAAAATATCTTAATAAATAAAAAAGTTATGCGATTTTTAAAAAAGCAAAATTTGGTAAAAAACTGATTTTTAAAAAGTGCCATTTTTGAGAACCCATATTTTCTAAACTAAATAACATAGAAGTGTAGAAATTGGTAAAGTTACTGCAAAGTTTGTAATATATATGCCCAATTTTTTTCAGTTATCTAAAATGAGTCTTTCTTTTATTTTTATAATTTTTTTTTTTTTTTTTTTTTTTTTTTTTTTTTTTTTTTGCTTTGTACATAGAATAACTCTAAAACTATTTTGTAGGTAACATTAACAGGAATAATGTGTTCATTATTTTCAAAAATCACATGAGTTAAAATATTATTAAAAAAAAATGCCACAGTTATCTATAGCAGGAGAAACAGAATCAAAATTTAGTGGAGTAATGTAATGTAATCTAATAAAGACGTGATGCCTACAAGTAATGCAGCAGTTGCTGCTACATTCAAACCTATTGGGTTGATAACTGCTTTGGGGGAACAGTTTTTAAAACGACAACTCCACATCTTTGTATGTCTTGTTTCCCCCAACCTTGATCTTGTGGAGCATCAAGAGTAAGTGATATGTTTTGGGAACTGTAGTTGGGGGGGGGGGCTTGGCCTTCTTCCCTTCCCTTGTAAGGAAAGTTCTGGATAGGCCACCATAAATGTCTCCAGCTATGGAATAAATAATTGATTTAGTGATTAAATAAAATATAATTAGATTTACTACTAGCCTATTGTGTAGGCCTACTATTTATCCTGTGACTGTAGCTGGAAACATGAAAAAGCCTGAAAACACCTTTTTGTTAAAAGAAATTTATACTTGATAGTATATTTTGAACATTAATTCTATTGAATGAAATATTCGTTGTTTGTGCCACAATGGTTGAGATATCCAATGATGAAGATGCCATACTGTGGTTCTCAACATCATATAGGACAACTTAACTGTCCTTCAGTGTTACTATATACATATAAAATAAATAAATAATGAGAAATACTACTAGTACTACTTACACTTACAACTAATATAACATTTAAAACTAAGTCACAACATGTACAATCTTGTTAAATTGCACCACCATCTAAAAATTGATCTGGTACATTTTATCAAGGAGACTGGCGCAGACCATTTCACATTATTCAGCAGGGAAATCAGAATCAAAGTGCACAACAGAAAATTAAAAATTAATCACATTAGTCCTTAAAATTTAGTGTCTTTTGTTTTAAATAAATTGATAAAAATTTATAGTTATTACAATTATAAGTTTCTTTTGTGTTTCAATAATATTTTATAAGTATTTTACCTTCGTTCCCTGTAAATAATTGAGTTCGTCCACATAGTAACCAAAAATGTCTGGTGGCCATTTTGAATTTGTCGATTCATAATTTTGACGCGATAGTCCAGATAAACTGTAGTAATACGACCCTATCATTAATCCCATTCGATAGATTTTAAAGAATTAGTAAACACTAGCATCTAATAGTTAAGTGCATCCATATTTTAAGTCCCTAGAATGTCCTGAATTAAATAGCTTCACGTTTAAACACACCATGTGTACAAGCGTAGTTCACGCGCTAAAACCGTGGACTAGTAGGGTTCAAATTTACATTAATAACGTGTGCTAATTAAACCAAACTGACATTCAAACTTAAAATTCATTTATTAAAATGGAAATGAAACTTTAAAAATGATACTTACAACTTGTTTGAAGGCTCTAGCAAGGGTAAAATCCGTTTAGCATCATCGGTCGTCAACCTTTAAAACCGTTCGGCGAGCAACTGACTCGGGGCTGAAAGTTGACTCGAGGGTTATATGCTTATTGAGGGTACGGCTTCGCGACCGTAAATCAGAAAGACTTGAATTTACAACACAAAGTAGTTATAAAAGTGAACTTTACATCGGTGTAAAGATTGAAACAGAATTAGTTTGTTTTCGTGTATATATCGTCATTTAAAGTTTAAAAACTGATTTTTTAAAATGAAATAAGCAAGTTATTTTTTCAATTTATACATCAAACGATAGACTAGAATTCGCTCTTTAAAATGACATTAAGATTATGCTTCTACGATGCTTCGTCGCGAAGCCGCAACCAAATGAAACAGTGTGGGGTCGATCGGTACACGCAAAACGGTGAAATTTGTTGACGTAACTGATACTTTTCAAACAAATATAAAACACATTCAAACATGTGTTACAGATATAAAAATACCAGATTACGACAGATAAAGGCTTAAACTTTATTGACATATAATTTTTATTCTTATAGGACAACTAGAAGTAGTGAAATTTTATTTTTGAAAACCGCAAAAACTGACCCTAAAACGCACTTTTTCGCCAGTTTGGACTACCTACTGTAAAGTTCTTAAATCGAAGACACGATTGACAAGTGAAGCAGCTAAAACCTAGAAATACATCTTATAGAAGTGTACGTTTACACACTAGACAGTAAGTAGTAACAAAGTAGTTATTCTCCTTTATTTGCAAAATCCGCTTCTGAGTCGGACTTACATAGGGTCTATTAAAGAGCTAAATGTTTATTCTATTATATGTTTTCATTTATTCGACTGTTGTTGAACTAGAGCTCAGTCGGCGATATTTTATTAAAAACTTGGATGCACGGGATTAACTTAGTCATTACGACTAAATAGATAAATTAGTGTACACAGCTGATAAACTGGAAAAAGTGACCAAACGATCTGAACAATGGTGGAAATTTTATTTACTTCTACACATTTTCATAACATGAATTCTACATACTTCTCATGTTAGTAGACGATCTTATATAAATCTGAAAAGTTTGACAGATGATCGTTCCTTTCAAAATTAAACCGTTAAGCTACAAACACAAGCTCTAAATATACGGGACGATGTTACATTATTTATAATGATTGAGAGGTAAACACAATGACAAACTTAGTTCCGAATAGGTGACAACTTTGTCTAGCGGATAAGCATATAATAATTATTGCTGACTGCAAAAGTTTTGAGTTTAGACCCCCGAGGCAATGACTAGGGTTACAACTTTTTCTAACGGACGAGCCTATGATTGCTGACTCAAAAAGTCCTTAGTTCAGACCCCAGGGCTGTATGAAACAACTACCTATCTAAGCGAGGGGAAAATTAAACAGCTTCCGCCTTACACTGTTCTCGATTAGACTGATGCAATGGAAACAAACCCAGAAATAACAGCAGCATAATGAACTTAATGAGACATATAATTCATAACATGTTAGCACAAAATACTTGTTTTGGAGGAAATCTGCTTCAATGTTAATATTATGGACACACTAGAAAAAAACTAAAACATGTTTATTTTAAAAAGACACGGAATTTGTTTTGATTAAAGACGTGAAATACGACTTGCGCTAAATAATGTGATTCTGTTATTTATTCAAAAAATTGTTAAATCTTGAACGGAATCATGGCTTGTGAGTCGAGGCTATTGGTGTGGTATGTAAGGAGTCTTAACCTGTCACATCGTTAATGTTCCATAGAAATAGTAAAGAGCATAACGTGAAAAGAGCTATTTGTCATATTATTTTGTTGTATTATCGGTATCCACATTAAGTGTGGTTCAATTTCGGAATACTCAGAAATGTGAGAACAGTGTTTTGACTACTTAAGAAATATTTTTGTTTCATTGATTGTTGCATCATTGAATTAATGATTCTTTTTGTAATTTGCTTGACTAATATGGTTTTAAGCTATGAAAAAATAATATTATATTAATGAAATCAATATATTTCATTCATTTTTTTTGTTTAAATTGTCTGAGAATAAAAAATACATCGCATTTTTTTCTTTTTTTCAAATGGATTTAATTTTTCTGGAGGTTAGATTCGTATACCAACCGCTACCTTCATTTAGACATCGATAAAATGCTTGGTAATAAAGTGGATACGTTGCTACGACAGCTGCAACATGTCACTATAGATAAAATACTAATTCAGACTCTTTGCCAGGCTCGATCGCCAACACCGCATAAGCCATTTCATCTATTACTACATACTAGCACATACCACCATTCTCACCAGCAGAGCTCAATTGACCGTCTTACCTACAACACGTCATGCCGTTGTATAAACCAACATTCTAGCCATTGTATAATGGCTGCTCTCAACACGTCCCAACCAGCAAGCACCACCAGACTTTACAGCAAGTGAATGTACTGCAATGTACAAGAGTTGGTGACTCCCGAAGGTAAGGGCATGATACGTTCTTGTATCACTGCTGTCGGGATAAGCTTTTGTATCACGGCTGTCAGAAACTCTCAGTTCACACGTTATAAGCTTGACTTTATTCAACTTCTGATAACTCACTGCTATATTATTTGAAATAAAGAGGCTATTTACAATGAACTTTTGTTTGTTCATGTAGCTTTTTATAAATCGACTTTGTATGATCATTTTTTACTTTACCCATATATGGTTAGCATAGTTTCTTCCAGACATCTCTTCGGGGAGGGGGGGGGGGGGGGCGACCCCGGAAGAAAGTCTGCCGCCCCCCCCCCCCCCAAACGAAATGGAGTTCATATAGAACCCCCAACCCCCCAAAAAAATTAAGTGCCCCCCCCCACCCACCCACCACCACCAAAATAAAAAAGTCCCTCTTGGCCTCCACTTGTTCTCCTTCTAAAATAGGTTTACTGGCAAAAAAATTATAAAGTGTGTCATTATGAAAGCAAAATTAAACAAAATAAATAGCACATACGGTTGTTTTATTTTGTATAGCTTTTTTCGTCAACAAACCGTATAGGTTTCAAATTATTACGTTAATTAAAATAGATCTATATTGTTTTGAAAAATAGGGAATGGAAAATAAAAGATGTAAACAATACTATTTTATTTAACACTAAAGTCCACATATACCCTTAGAAGTGTTTCTTTCGGACATTTTATTCAGGGAGGTCGAGATTATGGTTGGAGGGGCGGGGGGGGGGCATTATAATTTTCAGGGTGACGGCCATTTTTATGTTACTGTAACATCACACAATAATATTTTATATGTTAAAATCACATGCATTCAAACCAATTTCAAATGTGGACCTAGATTTCTAGATCTAGAATCTTGACTAGATCTAGATCTAGTGTGGAAAAATGAAATAACTAAACAGCAATCAGAGCCGCCGTCCAAATATTTAATTATGTTGATATATTTAGATTTAGTTTGATAGCCATACTCCCCCCCCCCCCCCCACCATCACTTTTTTTCATAACGGGGAAATTTTTTGGCTATTAATAGCTGGGGGTTTTCCAAACAGAAGTAATCGGGGAAAGCCTTTTTAAAGTTCAAGGCAGTGCGAACACAAGTAAGAACAAAACAGGTAATTACTAATTAGTGAATTAGGCTTAGGCAAAACTAATTGCAATATATTATTCGACAAACTTAAACAAAATGGCGAATATATTTATTTATAGTGCGAATCACTATTTAATTTGAGAACTTATTAATATAGGCCTAAATTAATACTATTATTAGACTAATGATTATTATTTAATAATTAGAATCTAGATTCTAGATCTAGATCTAGTAGAATCTAGTAGTACTAGTAGTCTAATGATTAGATTAGCCCCAAAAATATGTTGTTTTTTTTGTATTATTATTATAATTAAAAATAATTTTAGGCACTAACCAATTTATTAGTAATATTTTATTATAATGCTTAGTTACTTACTACTTAGAAGTTAGGCCTATCCTGAGGCTATAATAGGCTGGCTATGTCTATCCTTTTAATAATTAAATTAATTTGTTTGTTTTTTGTCAGCATGGTTAATCAATAAATAATGTTAGATCTAGGCCTAATTTAAAAAAACAAACAAATGGATGCATAATTAAATAATTAATCATTCATAGAATTGCTTGACTTTTATTAAACTTTTTTTAAAATTACAAATAATATGAATTTCTAGGAATTTTGGCTTAGCCTACATCATTTACTAGGTCTACATTAAAACATTTGATTGACAAGTTCCAACAGAACTACAATAATAAAAAGAATCTAGATTAGATCTAGTCAAAAGTAATATAATAATGTATTGTTTGTATTTAAAATTTGTCTATTTTTCAATTATATCCCATCATGTATAATACTGATTTTGAAAAATATTATTAATTATTATTAATTGATTGTTTTTATTCTTTTTTTTACTTAAGATGAGACATCTATTTATTACATTGAGTTGATTGAGGTTATAATATAACTTTTTTTCCCTTAGCTATGAACTCATGCTAAGACATGTGAAGTGAAGAATGTTGTAAAAATTGAGATTTGCTTGTTGCATACTTTTAATAAAACTTGTAAAACATTTAAAAAATGGATGAAACAACGTTGGATCACGTGTACTTGAAAAAATTGAAGCCTAGATTTAAAGAGCTTTTTATACAGTTTATCATACCAGACAATGTTCTTCATGTGTTTCATAAATACAACAAAGACATTTTGACAGACATTGATCTTGTAAGTATTTGCTTAAGCTACAAATAGAATAATAGTGTTAATGAATAGTAGTAAAAAAAATTGCATTATTAATATTAATAACGACCCTTATACAGTATACACAGTTGCTATTTGTCAATAAAATATAGGCTCTACTAAAAAATAAATCTGACCTTTAATATATCAGTCTGTTGTAAATCTATCTTTGATAATACTACATTTTAAATGCATAGAGTTATTGATATTGATACAGAAACAGATATGCCAATTAATACATGTAATTATTTTTTTAAAATCTATTTCTAAAAATCATAGCAAAACATTGCTGCTGAAACAACAAACCATGGTCCAATAGCAGGCAGTATTTTACTATTTGAAAGACTTGTGTTATACAAGGGCTGGTACCCATGTTTGTTAAAAGTTCTTTATGATAGAGGAGTGTGTTTGTCTCATGTAGCGCAAGGAATGGAAAAGATCAAAGGTATAAGAACATGGCAAATTTAGCATTATTTTTAAATTGTTTTTTTTTGTGTGTTGCCAATTTATAAAACCAATGCAATTAGAAATTAACATTGATAATACATATAGAAAAACTGAACTGAGACTCATGGTGTTAAACATATTATATTATAGGTTTACTAGATGATGAGATTTTACAAGAGGAATCTGATGACCAGGTAAAAAGATTTTGGCTAAGATACAAAAAAATCTTTCTTTTTATTAACAATATAAAAATTCCTAGTTTTACGCTTGTTAATGTTGCTTTAAATTAGAGTGCAAACAAAGATAAATGGTTGGCTGGTCTGTCTTTGTACACCAGTGGATTGACCAGAGTCCTGCATGTTCCTCCAAACACAACAAATTTAAACAAGTTAAAAGGTAACATTTTATTTTTAACATAATGAAGAGATAGAGACAAAAATGAGCAGTGGGGTAACAATCCCCATTCTTTTCAATTATAATCTGATCACTTTTAACTTATCCATTATGTCACCAGAATAACACATTTCATGTTACCTATTTATAATTGTAATTACCTAAAAAGTAAAAAAAAAATTAATTATTGTCTATTGCTGACTACAACGCATTAACTTAAATATAGTAAACTTATTTTAGGGTTGCAATTATGTGAATAGGAAAAAATTAGGATTTTAATTGTGTTTGTATGTACAAAGATTATGTTCTTTGTGTGAAGCTCTGCTCTATAAATTTTTTAAACATATTTTCTTCCAACAGTGGACCCAGTTCTAGAGAAAAGATTACTAAAAAAGAAGGTTGAAAATGGTAGGTAAAATTACATGTTGTTTGCTTTTATTAATCTCATTAGCATAATGTTTTAAAAAGTAAAGTGGATAAATGTTAACATTAGTCATACGATATGGATTCACACATTGGTTGTATATGCTGTAATATAGAAAAAATTCAGTTATGTTTAGCTTGTTTTTATAAATAAAATGTTTTTAAGCACATAATGTTGTAGTACACAATACACATATATATTTCAAACAGTCATCAATACAATTATTATAGGCCCTGAATTGATGCAAGTTGGTACTACACAATAATGTTATAAAATGAATTTTATTTTGAATTGCATAAGTTTATTAAGGGTGTTTTTTTTAATAAAATAAACTCCAAATGCATTAAATTTATGTAGGCCTATATAGCGAATGATTCACATACTAATTGATTTCCAAACAGAAAGACTCCAAAAAGAATTAGATGAGGTAAAACAAAGTCTAAGGGAACTTAACCAATCTTATGAAGAGTTACAACAACAGACAAACTCAGTTCTGTCAAGTGATGTGGGTAATTAAAATAAAACACTGTTAAAATAAATATTGATTCTCTAAAAATATATGATGATTAATCTAGACTCATTTCATACTATTTTATAGCTACAACTTAAAAAAACATAAAGACTAATTCTATTTTTTTTCACTAAATAGCGCTAACTAATACATACAGCCATCAGATCATAAAAAATGTATTCACTGTAAAGACTTCTCGGAAGAAGCTTCTACACTTCAAATCACAATGACCTTATTAACTATGCAATGGGCTGAAATAAAATACTATTAATAGTAGCCTTTTTAAACCTATTCTTCTGACAAAACTATAGGTACCGCTTTGGACAGGGTGGGGGTTGAGGGTTCATAGTATAGTTATAGAATATCTAGTAAAGAGATTTAGTCTGTAAGCTGAGTTTAGAATTCTTTTTTTTAAAACTTATTTTAATAGCCTATTTAAATCATCTTAATTTAAGACAACACATAGGCCTAAACCAATAAACATTTAGATGACAAGAAAAACCAGGCAATTGTAGCACATGTGCATCCTCTTCTGGCTAGAAATGGCCTAAAGACTTTCCTAAGCTTTAATCCTGGAAACATTGATGCCATAATAAAATTTTATGTATTCTTGTATGTTTATTAGAATAATAATAAAAAAACCTGACAAGAAATGGTTCTGTAGGCCTATATTTGAGCAAGACACTATTGATTAATGTATGATAAAAATTATGTATATCTCGCTGATTAAAATTAAAACATTTTTTATGATATATAAAAAGTGTGTTATCCATCTGATATGTTAATAGCATAGAAATTGTTAAAAATCTAGTAAATTTTATTCTAATATAATTTGCTTATTAAAAATAGAATACTTTATTAGCAAATAAAATAATAATATAAAATTATTTTTAGTTTTTGAAAAAATTCTCAATAGATATCGCAGAAAAGCAGCAAGAACAATGCAAAGATTGTAAGGAAAAGCTCAAACAAAATGGTAAGGAAACTAACAAATATTTTTATAGGCTATTTGTAAGATGTAAGGTTCTTTTGATGAAATGATATAATGAATGTGCTTATTGTGGTGATGTAATGTGTATGAAAGATGAATACGTGGAACGGATCACTGCGTGTGTGTATCTATCATGTAGTGAGACAAGAGGCCGGGTGTGTTGATGTGTATGTTGTTGTACGGAGTGAACGAGGGTACAAGGGAAGCGACTGGTCGGATGACAGTGGCTGTGTTGTGAGCGAGAGAAAGGTGGTGTGTAGGAATGAATGCGGAGGACAGTTGAAAGTTGGAGTAAAAGCAAACAGGTTGATGTGGCGTTTTTAAAGAGAAATTAAGGATACTGTGATACCTAGCCTCAATCGTGTTGGTTGTGTATTCGTTGAGGTTCTGACACCCTCACACTTATAATATATAATTTACATAAATTAATTTTCTTTTGTTATATCTTGGTTTGAAACTGCCACATTAACAGTTGTAATTTTATAAATTATTAGCAATTTAAAGTGGAGAACACTAGCTAATGAGTATATTGTCATTGTTTAACTGAACAGAGAAACTAAAAAATGAACTAAAACAAGCCAAAGTAGTGCAGGTTGACTTGAAATCATCTAATGAAGAGCTGTTATTAGAGAAAGGTGAGAATATTGATGATTTATAATATATATATATATATATATATATATATATATATATATATATATATATATATATATATATATATATATATATATATATATTAAAAATTAAGTTATTAAAAATGGATTAAAAAACATGCCTATATCCCGAGCTGCAATCCCACTTTGTTTTATATAAGTGCTTTCTGTTTATATATGTCTATAATAAGCTTTGCAATCATTTACTAACACAGTGTAAAAAGTGAAATACTTGATATTATTCCAATATTTTTATTGTATCACATGGTATTGTTGTTCATTAGGAGAGGACAGTAAGTAACAAGTAGTTTTCTGTTTAATGATTTGACTGTGATACTTATTATATTTGTATAAGAAAGCATGCTGTCGAGGAACGACAGGTAATGCATAAGTTAAATTTTAGAATCAAATTATAAAGTATAAGTTGCTGCTTTAAACTAAGCTTAATATTAAAGTATTGCTGTTTATTTTTACATTTTAAACACATATGTTTCAGTTATCATTTGAATTTAGACATGGCTATATATAGCTGAAGCAAAGCCTTGCTGATAAATGCTTGTATAGATTTATTGTTGAATAAAAATTAATAATGAAAATTTTCTATTTCTTGAACGAAAATGCTACATCAAAGCTACTAAAGACCCCATCATTTAAAGATCATTATTAAGAAAATTGTATAATAAATTATAATAAAATACTAAATTTCACTTCAACCAGAGGCGTAGCGACCCTTCCCGGCGCCCGGGGACAACCTTTCGATTTGCAACCTCCCCCTCCTTCAAGATTTTGATTTGCACCACCCCTCCCCCTCAAACTTTCGATTTGCACCCCCCCCCCACAAGATTTCGATTTTCACCCCACCCCTCAAAACTTTGATTTGCACCCCCCCCCTCAAGCTTTCATTTATATTTTCCAACCCATTTTGGCGCCCCCTAAGGTCGTCACCCGGGGACATATGTTCCCCCCCCCCGTTCCCCCCACCCCTCGCTACGCTACTGACTTCAACAACTTTATTTCTAAAGTCAGTAGCTATCTAAACTATAATTTTTTTACCTTTTCAGTCTAACACAATAACTTTACATACTTTGTCTAATCTCTCACTCATTACCTAGTTTGATGAGTATGTGTGAGTGTGTGGGGAAGGGGGGGGGGGGGAATCTGACAAAGCATGTGAACAAGACAATTATTACATCTGGTTACAGCGTGTTGGATAGTCACTCTGTCAATTTAAATTAATTCCGTATTTAATCATGTTGGATTAGTCCAGATTATCACAAGTATAAAATTTACATCAGTTGTCTGTATCAAATTGTTCTTGTCGTTTTATATATCTAGGCTTATTTTCTACCATTATGTCAATTTTTTTATTATTCTCAGATAAAAGTTAATGTTTACATTAAGTACCTTCTACATCTCGTTATCTTTGATTCAGTCTTATATATGTATCTCAATTCGCAGAAGTCGACAGGTATATGATACCTCATATAATCTATCTTTTTGTTTTGTTTTTTTCTTTAGATTAACTAATTGTCTAAAGATTAAAATTAATATATTTATTTTTATTACTTGACTAATACAGAGGATCTCCATATTAAAAACAACCTGTTTTAATAATAAACTAATTATTTTCAATTGTGATTGTTATTTGTGTTATGTTATGAAACCTAGTGGTTGCATTCTTCAGCCAGGGGGTCGGCGTGGTCGAGTCGGTAAAGCTCATGGTTGCTAAACCAAAAAGTCTCGAGTTCGAACCCTCGGGCAGATGAGGCTCGTTAACTGGGGGACAGCAAAATTAAACAACTGAAGCAATCCAAAAAGAAAAGAAGGCTGAAATCTGAGTCAATGGCCTCAATGGCACATAACCAGTTGACACGTATTCCTTAATTGTGATGGCCGAGTCGGCAAAAGCTCATAGTTGATAAATTCGAAAAAGTCTCGAGTTCAACCCTCTGGCAGATAAGGCTCGATCCCTTCCAACACTAAAAATTAAGAACGAAGAAGAAGTTCCTAGCCTATGTTTGGGTATTATTTGTAAAATTTTGTTATTTTTTTAAATTCTTTTTCTGAATTAATATCATTACTACTTCAATACAATAATTTTTCTATTACAATTAAATTAATTGCCAGCAATTTAAATTTGCCAATATATTATAACACATTTAAACCAAACACAAATGTAATAGAATATTAATCCTATATTAAAACCTTTACCCCTATTGATTTATTTTTGTAATTCTAACAGAGAAACAGAAGACTGAATTAGACAAACTCATGAAAATGTATAATGAACTTAAGGTGTCCCATGAAGAGCTGAAACAAATAAAAGGTTGGATTTTTAAAAATCATGTTACTCATATTTGCGCATTATGGAATCAAACTATTTTGTGCTTTACACAGTCTATAGCTAGTGTTAGAGTACTATATGAATATCTTTGTTTTTTATCTATTTATTTTTCTCACTTGATATCATCAGTACTTGTATAACATATTTTCAAAAATGTTGCCCATAGTTAAGATGTGATATTTATTTATTGTGTATTACAAACCATACACAAGTAGCATAACATTTGCTCATGATATATTAAAACTTACATCCCTGATGTTTCTTTTGTGCAATCTTAACAGAGAAACAAAAGACTGAATTAGAAAAGGTTACAGAAATGTATAATGAACTAAAAGTGTCACACCAAGAGTTACTACATGTGAAAGGTTGGGTTTTTTACTTTAAACTTAAAGTTTATTAGTAAAATATATTTATCTAATATAGGCCACAGACTTAAGTTAAGCCAAAAATGTACATTTTAAACCTCTGGTTGTCTACTTCCCTTCTTACATTACATGGGCAGAGAATAGAATGTACCTTTGAATATTTTAACCCCTGACCCTAAACATAACCCTAAGAATCACTAGATAATGTGAGGGTTAGGTTAGTGTTATAAAATGTACTAGGTGGGAAATGGGGGGGGGGCAAATGCATAGCTAGGTGAGGGCAGGTGGACTAGCTGCCTCGGGCGCCGACCCTTAAGGGGCGCCAAAAGCTGTTAAAAAATAAAGCTAATTTTGTAAGCTGAGGTATTGAATTATACTCAATGTGTGGCATCAAAGCAAAAACTAGTGACTGGTAAAAATCGCCACGAACCTTTTCATTTGAAGTGGGGCTTTTTTACTAAGGGCGTAATTTCTCAATAGAGAGAGAGAGAGTAATAATGGATGAAATTGTGAGGGGCGGGGGGGTAATTGACGGATAGGTATTGTCCTAGACCCTTCTCACCCATTCCTCCATAACTGACAAAAAGTAATATCTTAATGCACCTCTTATTTATGATAATAGCAGTAAATCAGTAAAAATGAAGAGCCAGATTCGCTAAATTATGAACTGCACTATTAAATAATAGTCATCTGTATTCATATCTATCCGTCTAACGCAATATAATGCGAAAATGACCCACCTTCAGTGCAGGATTGACACATAAGCCAAACAAGCCATAGTGTAAGTCTCCCACTTTCACGACACGTCCTATCAAAGACCATTGTCTGAGTGAGCAATTGTCAGATAAGTTGCAGCATATTTTTCATAAAGGTTAACTATGATGACCACAGAACAGCTTCAGTAACATATTATGTGATTAGATACTGTGGCTCAATAATTAACTGCCAACTAACAGTAAAAAGTAGAGTTCCCTTTCCAAACCTGACGGTTTATGGGGCAAGTGAAGTAGAGTTCACTTGTTTATGCACTTGCGATCAGCACTATGCCCAGCCGCCTTTACTTTCTCTAACGTTAGATACCCATCAGAGTTGGGTAGACTCAGGGACGGTCTACTGACTTGAACCCGGATTCGAACTCGATACTTACGGGTTAGCAGTTCAGCTCTCTACCGCTAGACCACGACGTCCCATGCCAACTAACAGAACAGATATATATTTGACAGCAGTACTGGGAAAATATTCATGAAGTTGTAGGAGCTGTGGGCAGTCATAGCTATTGTAGAAGAACGTGGTTTTCCTATCAGATAATATAATTAAGCTTGTGGATGTACGCATAATGATAATTTCTTGGATTATTCTAATTTATAGGGAAATTCAATCATCATTTCATCAGCCATTCTACTGTTGACATTCTCTAAAGACAACTCTTAAGTGTGCAATGTTTTTACAAGCTTTTAATTAACTCACTTCCTCTGTCTGTCTTGACGGAAACGCAGGAGTGAAAATTCGGACAGTTCTACTTGACCGATACGATTCACAGTTGGCACGTGGGTCAAGACATGAAGACAATGCAATCTGAAACTAAATTTGACTTAATTGGATGCCTAATTAATTTTTTATGAATTAATAAAAATTTGGACCGAATTAGTAGGCATGTCTAGCCAACCACACCACACGCGTCATCACCTTCAATAGCTGCGCCATCACGTAATGGCTGCGTTCAAAAACCATTGCGCGCCTACTGAACGTGATGTTCAGTAGGCGCGCAATGGTTTTTAGTCATGTAACTCTATTGTAAATAAAACATGTAAAGTACTGAAAAAAAAATCATAAAAAACGTTTTAATAACAAGCTTTTATGTAATGATGCACTAAAAAGTAGAAAATAAATTATAGACTACTATTTAAATAACTATAAAGAAAAGCGTGGGTGTCTTCCTTAACATTAGTAAAGGTATCCAATAGATACAAAAGTGACCCACGCTTTTCTTTATAGTTATTTAAATAGTAGTCTATAATTTATTTTCTACTTTTTAGTGCATCATTACATAAAAGCTTGTTATTAAAACGTTTTTTATGATTTTTTTATCAAAGTCCAGATGAAAGGCTATATTATATTATTATAGCGTATTGATATTATAGAAAAAGGCGAAAAAAATATCCAGCTTTAAACATTTTCAATATAATGGAGGAGTTTGGAATGATGGCGCATTTTGCCAATATAATAACTATATATATAGGCCCTACATATTATTATGTAGGAGAAGCAAAATTGATAGTTCCCACCCCCCCCCCTGGAGTCGCAATGGGTCGCTACGCCCTTTCCTTCCTTATAATTTACACAGGCTCTCTCAATGTTTAGTCGCACTTCATCCGCTTGCGATTTGTTGTTTCTAAGTACATTTTCAAATTTTATTTTAATAGAAACAATTCAAAAGGAAACTGCTGATATAAAGGAGCAACTCAACTTAGCAAAAAAGGCGAATGAAGAACTCATGAGAAAGGTATGATTTTAGATTGTCTCTATTCTTTTGGTTGTAAAAATTAAAATGAATCGTTATAGTCAATATTGTACTAATATATATATATATATATATATATATATATATATATATATATATATATATATATATATATATATATATATATATATATATAAGTATGCATATACAGTGAATGGATCACAATCAGCTTGTTAAAGGAGGATGCAAGTATTTTCTTTTAACTTGTATATATCCTTTTCTTAATAGATGAATTACTAAAAATTATGTCTAAGTGGCATGAAGTCATGTACAGTGGACTGATGTGAATGAAACAAACAGCCACATATTGACTACAGCAGCAGACTAATTGATATTTATCTAATCAAATATTTTAAAATATTGTTTTTAAACGTAAATGTAATTCCCATTATATCTTTATAAAATCATTTCAGGTATTTGCTAAAGATTTGAATCTATTAATTGTTGGTAAAGACGGAGCTGGCAAGAGTGCTTTAGGAAATTCGATCCTTGGACGTCAAGCTTTTGAATTATACCACAATTATAGAACACGCGTAACCAATGATTATCAAATAGAATATGGTGAATACAAGAACAGAAAATTAATGGTCGTAGACAAACTTGGTCCATACACGAAGTTTGATGAACCCTTTAGAGATTTAAAGAAGTTGACTGATCAAATAAGACAAGCTTTGACTATACAATTTCAAGGCTACAGTGCACTCATTTATGTTATAAGATATGGAGGTAGATTCACAATGGAAGATGAAGATTTTTTTAAAGCGTTAAAAACTATTTTAGGAGATAACTGTATAAAACAGTTTGGTATTCTAGCAATAACATGTGGAGATTGTTTTGAACTCGATTCTGATGAAACCAACATTACGTTTGATAAATGGTGTCGTAAACAAAAAGGTCTTTTAAAATATCTAATTAAGGAATTCGAACAACGCGTCGTTTTATTTGACAACAGGACACGTAGTGAAACAAAAAAGGAAAGACAGCTGGACCAGCTGATTGCATTAGTTGATTGTTTACAAGCCAAATGTAGCAAGTTCACGGCAAAAGATTTAACACCTACCTCAGGCATTTGTCCCATACATGGTCCAGATTATTGAAATGATGTAGTAGCTGTACTGACATTGTACAAAATTTCATCTCCATCAGTCAAGTATTTTGCAAATTATGGCATGTGTAAAAAAATGTACAACGTGTCAACATAGAGTAAAATGTTAGTAACCGCTTATTTATATCATGCCATTCTGGAATGATATTTACTATGTATTAGAATATAACAATCCAATTGAAGAATAAAAAATTCATAAGAGATCTAAAAAAATGTTAATTAATTTATCGACATCAACACTTTCCGTAACAGACTGTGTTTGGTGAATTGTATTTGGAGTAAAACGTGTGTGTGAGTTGAATACCTGGCCAACGGAAGAGAATGCGTGAGCGATCAATCACTGTATTTTGCATGCTTTTTGGAGATCGCTCACTGACTGTAGGGCCATATAATCGGTGTAAATGAGATGTTCGGGGGGACCACTTAGATGAATGCTAGTGGATGCTTTGTGAGTTGATGGTTAGGACTTGGAATGTTTTGATTGCTGAATGAAGTGTATTCCTTATGGATCTTATTACTGTAAATAAAGTTGGAATATAAAACAACAGTTGATCGTCTATATTTGAAGACATAACTCACAATAACATCGAGTTGCCACATGAAACAACTAGGTATCGCTACACTTTCAATGAAATTTTATTAGGCCTTTAGTATAATGAACCCAGATCTGACTTTTTGACCTATGACTATGGGGTCATCCATTATCGATGTCACGTATTTTAATAATTTATACCTCACCCCCTCCCCATCATCACTAAACTCCAAACCCCCACCCCCATCCAATTAGAAATGACGTAACACTTCAGTTACTCCCTCCCTCACACAAAGAGCGAATTAAAATTGTTATGTACAACGTACCTGACTACTTCAAGCTTTGATGGGTACCTAACTCACGTTAGGAAAAGTATAGGAGGCTGGGCATAGTGCTGACAACATCATCCCTTCATATGTGGCAGACAAGAAACAGATTCGCTCTACTTCACCTGCTCTATAGATCGCTATTTTTTAAAGTGAACTTGGCTTAACTTATATCTCAACAATCTAGACCAACCAAAATGAAATTTCTAAACTCTCTCAACATTATGTCACTCCGTCACAACGTCTCTTCCCACATTGTCCCCGTTTTCTTAACACAGTATCTTTTGTATTTTTTAACACAATTCTTCTAATACAAAACTCTCCCTAACAAACACACTAGTTGATTTCACTTCATAACAGTTCACACATTTTCTGGGTTAAAACAATGGAGAGCACGGATTTAATACATTTAATGACTAATATTTCAATGTATATCAGCTTTGTGGATTAATATACACCGTCATTAAACAACAATATCAATTCTAATAAGAAAACTTTTATGATAAGTAAAATGTAAAAGTTAAAATGTATGTATAATTGGGTCTACGACAAATTCCATTGTCACATTCGGGCAAGTGTCCATTCGGGCATTTGTCGCATTCGGGCAAGTGTCCATTCGGGAAATCGGCCTTCGGGCAAACGGCATTCGGGCAAGTGTCTATCGGGAAAACGTCCGGCTCCCTGTATAATTAGTTTGAAAATGTAATTTTCATATAGTAATTGCGTGCAGTATTGTGATCTTCATCAGAAACATTTACAACCTATGCTTCTATGAAACGTACGCAGGGTTTGAAAACACTTTTATATATGTCTTGATAAAACATCCTGAAAATTCTAAGATTTCTGATAATGTGTACCATGTAAATATGCTCATATTTGAAAAAAGAAAGGGATTTAATTAGTTGAACATTAGAATAATATCGAAAGTTGCATTAGCTCCCTTGCCATAAGGTAAAGAAGAGAAGATCATTTTTTTACTTTTATTTCATTAGACGAGTGAAAACATTGCCGTATATTCATACATGTGTTATATACATGTATACATAGTTACATATATTTATTGAATTTTTAGTGTCCCTTAGTGTCCAAAGTTTTAAATTATGTTCTTATCAAAGTTTAAAGCCTTGTTTTGTTATTACAGATGCAGTGTTTTCATTGAATTAAATATTCCATTCACTTTATAAATATAATTCACATTGGCTTTTAGTTAGTTTCAATTCAACAAAATGTGTGCTTAGATGAATTTGGCTTGAGGGTTATCTTAATATTTGGTTTACTTCATATCTTTTGTAATGTTTAGTTTGCAAATCTCAGAAAGTTTTGCAAACATTTTATGATATCCTTATGATAACGCATATTAAATATTTGTCCACATTTAAATTCAGATATGTTAAGGTTTATGTTATGCTAGGGTTGATTTTACAATATATTTTCAAGATCACGTGTAAGGAAGAGTTGACACACTGGGTAGGTTTATGTTTAGTATGATTGCGTGCCTGTTAGTTTTTTAAATATCTTTTTTATTTTATGTTTAATATTTAAGACAGATGTTTTAAAGTTAAAAAAAAAAACATTCTTAAACGTTATATATACACACGATTTTTTAAATTTACTTTTGTTCAAGTAAAAAATGCCAAGCTTCTTCAAATACAAACTGTAAGAAATTGAATTTTTGTTTGTTTGAAATGGTACGTGGTACGTGAAATGGTACAGGTAAGTGTTTCCGGAACAAATAATGTAGGTTTTCGGCAAAATACTGTACTTCACTTTTGGGTGTAAATGTACAATTGTATTTAACCACAGGTGAACACAGGGCCATTGACTAAGCCTGAAGTTGTTAACTTAACTGATCAAAAAACTAAGAAAGGTAAGTCAACTGGGCCAGATGGTATCCCACTTAAACGGTCCCATCTGCAAGAGCAGAAATGCTGCTAACTAGTGCTTAGGGTTTGGGACCAAGAACAAGCCCCTGTCAATTGGAAACTGGGATATTTAGTAATCTACCAAAGAGATGGTGAACTTTCTCAATACAAAACAGTGGAAAAAAATTATGCTATTATCTGCCCTTAGCAAGGTACCCACGAGAATTATACTTGAGAGGCTGAAGAAGGTCTTGGACAAGAAATTAAGACCAGAACAGGCAGGCTTTCGCAAGAACATAAATTAACAAATGCCTTCGTCGCATATTGAACATCACGAGGCCTAAAAAAAAAATACCAATGCCGAATTGTGGAGAAAAACTAGGGAAGAGGATAATAGGTATGCCAAAAAAAAAAAAAAACAAGAAAATTCAGTTGACAGTGAAGCAGAAGCACCCAGAATGTCGTGAACCCAACTTGAAAGAATTGCCCAAAACTGAGTACGATGGAGAGATATGAGGGGGATCCTCATGAATATAGATGATGGTTTTTTAACCAATGAGTATAGAGGATTAGGTCGCAGAAGGAAGTCATTATTTAAAAAGAAAACTACATAATTTTAAAAAAAAAATGTACATGATTTTAGTCGGAAAAAGATGATTTTGACAACCTGCAACCTTTCGTTTATCGATACATGAGCAGTTAAGCCGTAAAACTTCTATGTTTTTTGAAAAAAAGGTGGAGGGGGTATTATTATCCTGGAATGTTCACATTACTATATAAAATAAATCTTTTTAGAGAAATAATCAGTTGAATTCGTTCAAAAATTAGTTAAATTCGGTAGCCTCCTTTACCTTATCAAACATTTTATAATAATGAGGTTATGTAAAGAAGTTATTTTTAAAATAAAATTTTATATCATATACAAGTATAAATAATAATAATGTGTCTGTTCAATTTATTTTAGTTGCTGCAATGTTCAGTATGTTTGTTATCAGAAGTGTGAAAAGCCACAATACATAACATTTATAAATAGCAATTTTAAATACACATATCTAATTACTTATGTTTTACTCACTTAAGAAATTTAAGAATTAAAACTAATTCAAAAATTGTCAAAAAATGTACTTGAGTTATAATAAATGAGTTTTACTATAAGCATGACGTTCAAAAATTATGCATGTATCATATGAAAACAACATTAGTCTACGTAAATGTAGATTGTTTAAATCGATTTACTGCACTTTCTGCATTTTCTTATTAGAATAAAAAATAAAATGTATTTTCCATATATTTAATAAAGTTTCTTTCACGCATTAAAATTCTCCAACATGTCTTCTAAGGATGAAGAGAAATAAACCGTGCTATGTTAATTATAGTTCATTTATTGTTGTTGTTTGACTGCTTAACAGATAGGCCTACAGTTTTGAATTTAAAACGATACTTATCAATAGTAGAGTTAGGTTTCGCAAAAAACGATTTCTATATATTTTGGAAAAAAATAAAATACGATAATTGAGACAGAATCATTTAATTAAATGTTTGTTTTGTTTCATTATATACAATGTTTTAATTGCTTTTGTCATGTATTGTTTGGTTGCCTTTATGTAACAAACATTGAATTATCAGAATATTACATCTATAGTTGTATTTCGCTGATACAATCATTCAATTAATAATTATACAAATATTCAGAAATATATAGACATCCAAATTAAGGATGCTGCAAGCCTAGTTGGCATACCGACATCTAAACAAGTTGATCACCTTAGCTAACCCTTACAAGGCTGCACTCGTGTATAATGCCGCTATACATTTTAAAAACTCGTGTTGTGACACGTTTTACACTGGCGCGAAAATAATTATGTAAGTAACATAAAATAAAAATCAAGTTTAGACTAGCTCGATTCGGCCAAGTAAATTTAATTATTAAAATATATTATTCACAAGGTCGTCTTCGTTCTGTTATGTGACTTTGTAAATACGTTTGTCATTCTTAACGCGCTGCACAATAAGATTTTGTTCCAAGACATTTTATGATTGAATAATTGTGTGTTTACAGATACGGTAACCAAAGCAGTGGTAATGTGACTTGAATGTTTAACTCAAGGTCTTTGTTCGACACATTCACACCATGGCACAACACTCATAAACCTGTACACAAAGCAAACTTTAAAATATATGACCCGTTGCTAATAAAATAAGTTTAGGCGAGCTTCATACTTGGCCCAAATAACACAACATTTCAAGTGCAATCGTTTCTTCAAGGGGAATGAAAATCATGGAGTTATTTAGAACTTGTTATCAAGGGCAGTAATAAAACAGTGTATTGTAAACGTGTTCGCCCCGATACGTTGATATACGATTCAACTTGAACAGCCCTGTATGAAAAACAACTTGTTATTACGTCATACACCTGTCATTTAAAAACTAAATTTTTAATGAAAAGCTGCCGCCTCAAAAAAATTTTTGTTGTTACATACCCAAAAGTAACCATTAGATAAAAGTGTATTAAAGCTTATTCTTGTAGCGACATGTTTTGCCCTGGCGGGACTTTTAAAACTTGTGAAAATGAACATGTCAATATTATTTTATCCTAAAAGATTTCCTAGTAAAGGTGAGTCAAGTCGGATCATGCATAATAAACAAAAAATTTAATTTAAGCACAACCATGAACTAAATGACTTTGCAAGGTGATTTATTGTGTGTATAAAATTCGACCAATGAAATATTTATAGTAT